CTAGACGTTCTCTTCCCCCTTTCACTGGACAAGGTCATCTTCGTCGATGCAGACCAAGTCGTCCGCACAGACATGTACGACCTCGTCAACTTAGACCTAGAAGGCGCTCCTTACGGCTTCACACCCATGTGCGATTCGCGCCATGAAATGGAAGGCTTCCGCTTCTGGAAACAGGGTTACTGGAAGAACTTCCTCCGCGGCCAGCCTTACCACATTTCGGCCCTTTACGTGGTTGACCTGAGCCGCTTCCGTGCTCTGGCTGCCGGCGACCGTCTCCGTGGCCAATACCAGATGCTCTCTGCTGATCCCAACAGTTTGAGTAATCTTGACCAGGACCTGCCGAATCATATGCAGCACCAAATCCCGATCAAGAGTCTGCCGCAGGAGTGGCTGTGGTGCGAGACCTGGTGTTCCGATGAGTCTTTGGGCCAGGCGAGAACGATTGATTTATGCAATAACCCCCAGACGAAGGAGCCTAAGCTCGATAGGGCTAGACGGCAAGTCCCCGAGTGGACTGAGTATGATGAGGAGATTGCTGCGTTGGTGGAGAAGGTCTCTTTGGAGCAGCAACAGAGTGAAGAGGTGCAGCCGGACGATGAGGAAGATGAGGAAGATGAGGAATGGACGAAAGATGAGTTGTAGATCTACATTATATTATGTGTTATAGTTCGTATTTCAATAGATTTGCGCGGAATTACATGGTACATCGATTTGGAAAGCTTGAGATCTAAATGAGTACTCAATCAGAGGTTGAATGCCAAACCTGTTCGTACGTAGGTAGAATCTAGTAGATAAATGACCTACCCTAGGTCGACGATAGATACTATCTGAGCGAAGGTACAGTATCAAGGCTTCGATGGAAAGCCTCGGAGAGCTTGCTCAACTCAACTAGACATCCACAGGTATATTCTCAGGTCTCAAGCCATTCTTTGTTCTGAACTATACATGTGGATGATGGGGTATATGATAAAAATAAACACAACTTTTTAAGAATAAATAGCAAGGACATCGTCCAACAACACAATTACAATCCATCCCTCCAACGCTTAGACAAAATTGTGCACACATTTGTTTGTTCATCATTCGTCAGACAATCTCTTCTGCACACCTCATCCTGTAACTTTTCATGCTTCTCCCCTCTTAAACACCGACAACAGCTAGTTGTCAGCACCCTCCATCTTAACATCTCGGGAAACCGACGAACGAGTCGAAGTAGAAGTTGAGGAGAGCTCTGCAAGACGGCGTCGTTTCAGAGCGCCCGCTTCCTTGGTACTCTGTTGCTCGGACTTGCTAGACTTGGACGCTGGGGTTGACTCTGATTCTGATTCGGACGAGTCGCTTTCGCTTTCACCAGACTCCGATGTAGACTCCTCTGATGAGGAGTCCTTGGCTTGTTGCTTGATGTTGTCTAAAGCCTTCTTCGGCGGCTTTCCTTTCTCGTTGCCACTTGAGCTGGTCACGTCGCTTTCGCTCTCAGACTCCGCATCACTTTCACTACTTCCATCATCGGATGAATCGCTCGAGTCGTCTTTAGAAGAGCTCTCCTCGTTCTTATCCTTGCTCTTCGGGGCTTCTGGTGATATCTTTGGCTTGCTGTTCGTCGAAGTCTGTGGGTGCGCGGGAACATCAGAGCCTGTGCTCGAGTCGCTCTCTTCAGAATCTGATGTGGAGGATGTTGACGTTGACTGTTTCCTCTTTTGAGGGGTAGTCTTTGTGTTTTTCTTGCTCTCTGTAGCCTGTAGCTGGTCTTTGACCTTCACGCGTTCGTTCCGCTTTGCCTTAGATTGTACATCTTTAGTCGTATCACTAGAGTTTGACTCGTTTGTTGATTCTGATTCGGAGTCAGAGGATGAGGATTTGTCGCTGGAGCTGGAATCCTTTGTAGACGTTTTGCCTGATTTGGCTTTCTTTTCATGCTGCTCCACGGCTTCATCTTCATCTGAATTGTCTGAATAAATGTATTCCGCGCTTTTAGGGGGAGGCTGCGGAGTTGGACTGGGTGGCCGCGATCTTTGTCTGCTGTTCTTCGACTCTTTGACGGGGTCAAAAACAGCATCTGGGTTCCCTCTGTCGCGCAGTTGCTGAACCTTTCTCTTGGCCTTGCGCCATTTATCTGCGCATTGTTGTCTGGAACGACAATTTCCAATTTTATTGCTGATATGTCCCCAGGATATGAGCGTCTCGTCCATATCATAGATATCTCGGCCCACTTCATGGCCCTTTTCCTTCATGTTTTTCCATACAACCTGTAAGGCGTTCTGCAGCGAGCGAATTTCCTCCTCCGACCATGGGCCTCGGTTCATCGTAGTTCTATGCTCCAAGCGGTTCTTCCATCTCTGTACAACATCGTCGTCACTCCGGCCCAACTCTTTAGCTATCTGGGCGAATTTGAAGCCATACCGTGCAACAAGCTGAACGAGTTCCTCATCTTGTTCGTGAGTCCATTGATGAGGCTTCACGTCAGAGTTTTGGAAGTGGCGCCTCATGAAGCGGTACACTGATCTCCTATCCCGGTCAGGAAGAATCTTGTAAATTGTCTTCCAGAATTCAGGTTTCATGGTGATAGACGAATCACAAGGGAAATCAATGCCCTTTTCCCGTTCGGAATGTTGGACCATCGCGTCAAACGCATGCGCCGGAAGACCATGGGAGTTGCAGAACTCCAACTTGAAGCTCTCCAGAGCTTGAACTTCGTCTTGCGTGAAAAATCCTGTAAGCCCTTTTCCGCTTTGTTGTCTCTTTCCTTTCTTAACAGTCACCTGCGGTATGGCGGCGTCATTCGAAGACTTGGTCGAAGGGGTACCATTGACTTGAGCTTCAGCTGGCGAATTATCAATCACGGCGGCAGATGCTTTTTCTGCCTGGCGGCCATCCTCAGTACTATCCGTGGGCGAGTCAGTGAGCTTCTTGCGCTTCGAAGGCCTAGGTTCCTCTTCGGCTGGGGGCGATGGCGGCGCGACGGCCGAGTTGTCATGTTTGCTGGATTTTCGTTTCCGTTTCGGTGTAGCTGCATCGTCGGACTGCCCCTTGGGTGTTTCTTTTTCCTTAGCTTTCAAGCTTTTCGGGCGACTTGGCGTGACGTCTGACCCAACTTTTTCTATGGTTGAAGCCCCAATGTCAGGTATCATTCAAGGGTCGGAGCTTCTCGTGCCGGCATTCTATCATAAACTTACGCGTGAGGTCGCGGATGCCATTTTCGGCCTTCTTGGAGGACCTATTACCCATGGGATGGGAGGAAGGGGAGAAAGATGAATCGCCTGAATCTAGTGAAGAAGGTTGTAAGTGGAGGTAGTAGGGATGGAGTTGAAATTGTCAGGAACAATGTTTATCAAGTCAAGAGTCAATTACAAAAATGGAAAAAAAAAAGGTTCCGGCCGAGGGACACTAAAGCTGAACTGCACGGGGCGGACTATTGCAGTCTTTTCCGCGCCAAAGCATTAGAAATTAAGCGGTCAAGCTTTCCCTCTGTAATTTTTCCTGCTTAATGCAAACACGTTCTATTGGGTATGCTTTTGAATTGCGCTCAGCGTCGTAAACTACTAGTAGGTACATGAGGAATAACATTATCAACAGCGGATGTGTATAAGATATAACATAGAAACACTCAATATCTTGCACATCACGATTCTATCTTCATTTCTCGTAATATTCTGGTCACCAACTTCCTCTGATCTGTCGAGCTCAATTCGTGCTCGTCGATGGTACTCAGGCATCGCCCAATTGCGACCGTCGCCTTGACAGCATAATCGCCTCCATTGGCACAATCCACCCAAACCTTTCCATTTCTCCCCACAGCGATCTCAAATCCACCCGCCTTCTCCAGCTTCTTGCCCAGTTCATCCAGAACCACCAACCCTGCCACACCATCCTGTTGCTCCGCCGACGAAGAGCTCGCCTTTATCAACCGAGCCGCCAACCCAGTCGACACATCAAAAACCATACCCCCGGTCAACGGACCCAATCCCCCATCAGCTCGTCCTGTCGCCGGGTTGACACATGTAAGTTCCACCTCCGCGCCAGCGCCCATACCAGTCGACAACACACGAGCATAGACCAGATCGCCTTGTTTCAGCATCGGCCGCGTCTTCTTCGTCGCACCCTCAAATGAAAGCTGTCCCAGCAGTGTCTGGGGCGCTTGCGGCGTAACCATACAATGGAAGTAATCCGGACTGGAGTGGTGGATCTGCGCGATCACAAGATCGCCTGGTGTCGGGAGGTATCGACGGTTTGGGGTAGAGAGGATCGAGACGGTATTTCTTTTGTTATCTGTTGAGAGGAGCCCGGGTTGCGTGGCGGATATGACATGGCTGGGGGGATTCGACGACGGTTGCGAGAGGAGACGAAGACCTGCTCCAAGTCTCAAGGGACCGGAATTGCTGGATGGTAGATATTCGGAAGGAACTTCGTCGCCCGGGAGTAGAATTAGTGGCGACGCCATTGTGAGGGTAAGTCCACCGGACGGGTTGTGGTGGTTTGTCTTCGCGTCTGAAGAGATCTGATGGTGGAGACTTGAAGGATCGCCCTTGGCTGTGAAAAGCGCAAATCGTTGCTTATCGGCTTATCTCCACGTGAGAGATTGTTTCTGCAGCATTATATCAGTGGACTTGGGGTGATGGTCGTACTAGTGGTTATGTACAAGGAATTCAAGGATATAATTTTAAACCCTCTATTCCCAATGCTTGTGAGTTACAATGTTCTCAATGCATGGAAGGGTCAGTCCATGTGACGTGTACAATAATTGTACATACATACGATTCTGGCTGCCCAGTCTAGATCGCACCGCCACCGCGCTATCGATAAGCACTAGCCACAGCTGCCCGCTTCTTGTCAAACAGACCAAAAATTTTTTTTCATCGTCTGGCAGAAAACGAAGGAAGAGAATCAGCCATTCCGAGGCGGAGCCCCAATTGTGTCCCATTTTCTATCTCCATTCCCTCTCTACTTTGAATCCTTCCCTTTTCCCTCTTCCTCCCTTTATAACACCCTACACATAATTCACAATGAGTGACGAAACAAACGGTACCCCGGAGCGTTTCGCTATCGGTATCTCTTTTGGCAACACCTCCAGTTCTATTGCCCGCATCAACCCTGTATGTGAGCCCGATTCATGACTTCGGTTTTACTCTCAAGGCTATGGATTTTTGTTAAGGGGAAATTGTACTAATGGTAATCAATATATAGGAGGGCAAGCCGGAGGTTATCGCCAACGAGGAAGGAGGTTAGTCTAATATTTCTCACCCTATTGCTGCTTGGTGGCGGGTAACCTTGGAGCACAAACTTACGGATGCACAGATCGTCAAATTCCTTCCGTCCTTTCATACATTGATGGTGAAGAGTACCACGGTACTCAAGCCAAGGCCCAGCTGGTCCGCAACTCCCAGAACACTGTCGCATACTTCAGAGATTACCTTGGCAAGGAGTATGTCTTTATGATATAAAATGCTACTTCCATGTGAGACAACGCTGACATGAATACCCCACAGCTTCAAGTCGATAGACGCCACACCATGCCATAACTCGGCGCATCCTCAGCCTCACGAGTCTACCGTTGCTTTCTCCATTGTGGACTCCACCAACGAGACCCCCAGCACTGTCACCGTCTCCGAGATTGCCACCCGCCATCTCCGTCGTTTGAAGCAGTCCGCCTCTGACTACCTGGGCAAGGAAGTCAATGCCGCCGTTATCACTGTCCCTACTGACTTCTCCGACGCTCAGCGTGAGGCTTTGACCGCCTCCGCTAAGGCTGCTGGCCTTGAGGTCCTGCAGCTCATCCATGAGCCTGTTGCCGCTGCCCTGGCATATGATGCCAGGCCCGAGGCTACTGTTACTGATAAGCTTGTTGTCGTCGCCGACCTTGGTGGTACCCGATCCGACGCTGCTGTTCTCGCTTGCCGTGGTGGCATGTACTCTATCCTCGCAACCGCTCATGACTACGAGCTGGGTGGAGCTTCATTGGACAAGATCATCATCGACCACTTCGCTAAGGAATTCATCAAGAAGCACAAGACTGATC